AAGCTGAAGACTTGAGAGAATTAAATCTGTCCAGGGATGTCAAGGGCAACAAGAAAAGCTTCTATAGCCATACTGGTGATAGTAAGGAAAATGTGAGCCTTCTCTGAAAGCAAATGGGAGGCCTGGTTACCCAGAATGTTGATAAGGCTGAGCTACTCAATGACTTTTTTTTGCCGTAGTCTTCACCAGCAAAGGCTATGGCCATACTGCCCATCATGAAAGACAAATGCAAGGGCTGGGAGAATGAAGAACTGCCTGTTGTAGGAAAAGATCAGGTTTGAGACCACCTAAGGAACCTGAAGGTGCATAAGTCCATGAGACCTAATGAGATGCATACGCAGGTCCTGAAGCAGCAGGCGTATGAAGTGGCCAACCCACTACCCATCATATTTGAAAAGTTGTGGCAGTCTGGTGAAGTTCACACTGACTGGACATGGGAAAACATAACCCCTATTTTTAGAAAGGGAAAAAAGGAAAACCTAGGCAACTACAGGGTGGTCAGTCTCACCTCAATGCCCTGCAAGATCACAGATAAGATCCTCCTGGAAACTATGCTAGGGCACATGGAAAATAAGGAGTTAATTGGTGACGGCCAAAATCCCAAGCACAACAGGCTAGATAGAGACTGGATTGAGAGCAGCCCTGAGGAGAAAGACTTGAGGGTGTTGGTTGATGAAAAGCTCAACATGAGCCAGCAGTGTGTGCTCAGAGCCCAGAAAGCCAACTGTATCCTGGGCTGCATTAAAAGAAGTGTGACCAGCAGGTCGAAGGAGGTGATCCTGTCCTTCTACTCTGCTCTCATGAGACCCCAGCTGAAGTACTGTGTGCAGTTCTGGGGCCCCCATTGTAAGAAGAATGTGGTCCTGTTAGAGAGTCCACAAGAGAGGCTGTGAAGATGATGAGAGAGCTGGAGAACCTATTCTGTGAAGACAGGCTGAGAGAGTTGAACTTGTTCAGACTGGACAAGAGAAGGCTTTTAGCAGCCTTCCAGTACCTGAAAGGGGCTTACGAGAAATCTCGAGAAGGACTTTTTACAAGGACATGTAGTGACAGGACAAGGGGGGATGGCTTTAAGCTAGAAGAAGATTTAGATTGGATATTAGGAAGAAATTCTTTACTGTGAGGGTGGTGAGACACTGGAACAGCCTGTCCCAAAGGAGTTGTGGATGCCCCATCCCTGGAAGTGTTCAAGGTCAGGCTGGACAGAGCTTTGAGAAACCTGGTCTAATGAAGGTACCCCTGCCATGGCAGGGAGGTTGAAACTAGATGATCTTTAAGGTCCCTTCCGACCCACACCATTCTGATTCTATGTTAATGCTTAACTGAGTCCAGCTAGTTTCAAGGCATTATGAGAGAAGAAAAGTATGCATCTGATGGAATTGCTAGTTGGTGGTAAATAACAGACAAGAAAAAAATCTATAGACATTACATATCCATTTATATTGTGAATTTAGAAATATCCATGTGAGGAGTTTCTAATCTCATTACGTGTGTTAAGCTCAAAAACTGCAATGAGGTGATTTACTGTGAAATCAGCCTTATGCTCTACAGATCATAGGATTTTAGTTTCTGAAGCTTATTAATGTTAATGCAACAGTTTTCATTTACGTAGTGGGCTTTTAGTGAACTCAGAAGTATCAGTTCAACAAATCAGTCCAGCACATGCTTCATTCTGGTCAGACTGAAGGAGAGTGGCTTTCTCTATTTGGTAGGGCTATGTGGAGAATAAGCCCATGCTTCTCTACTTTGCTGCTTGAGAACACTGGCAAAACAACTTGAAAACATGTAGTTGTTAAGAGACTTTTACTTCCATTAGTTGACACTTATGCCGTTTAGAACACACTTTTGACACAGAACTTAAAGAAAAACAAGCCACAGGATATGACTTAAAAGCTTTCTGCTCATCACTGCATCTGCTAGTTCAGGAGAATACTGCACATAAAGGGATAATGGGCATTGGAAGTTTTGGTCCAAACCTGAACATCTGTTAAAGAGAATGCTTGACTTCAGTAACAGTTTTGTAGGGATCCCAAGCAGTATTGTTATACAAACCAAACACTTAAAGAGGAAAACTCCTTAACATGGTAGCACAAAGACTGCCTGTAAGGTAAACTAAACAGAATTCTTCCGTGATTTGTTCTATGTCAAATTTTGTCACTAACTAGTTACTAGAATAGGGTATGTTCAGAAGATAATCTTCACAGAGGATTTTTGAGTTCTGAGTATAACGATATTTATGAAACAGCATTTTAAACACTAGATATTAAAATAACAGCAAAGGTAGAGTACAGGTAATAAACAGTACAGGCATGGCTGACAGAATGTTATTGGAAGCTGACAGTCTCCTATTGACCTTGATGTAAAGTTGATTCAATCATGCTTCAGAAATAACAGTTAAAGGACAAGCTAATGTACTCTTCCCTTTACTAATCACTAAGGTTGGGATTTACATAATTTCCTCAGTATTTCTTTGAATGCTTTTGTTTGCTGTTACTTGGAAATAGTCAATATTATAATTTTAATATAGACTAGTTTTCCGTACCTTTGCCATACTCTGTATTTCTGTTTCCTGCATAGACACCTAACTCTTTTTTTTTTTATAATTTTCTTATGGTAACGCATAAGTGAAAATTTACTTTTCCAGAGTAAGTTGAGATATACAAATAAAATTGGTATTTGGAAGTATTCCTAAGAAAACAATAATTTGCCAAATGTCTGTAAAGATTTAACATGTAAAAGGAGTCAAATTTATCAAAAATATTTTCCAAAGAACATTCAGAAAATGGGAGTTAGTTATCTCTTCCTGGCCTTACTACAGGTATATAAAATAAAGTTTTGAAAAGTGTCATCTCAAGAAACCAAAAATAAAGTCTGATATCCCAGACATCTTTGCTATTTTTAAAGGTATAGACTCTTCTCCATTACCTAGAACTTTGCCTGAAAACCTATGCTTCTCCATCAGAATAGTAATACATAGTCCATACTTACTTATGCTTAGCACATTAAAGTGATGCAATTAGTGCCTTTCATTAGCCTAATTTCTTGTGATTATAAATCTGAATTTAATTCTGTTTTATTCACTTTGGACAAGTACAACATAACTGTGATCCTGCACATTACTTTTAATCTGTTAGTGTAATTCCTTTGAGATATCACCCTTATTCGCTCTGCATACAGATACAAAAAAAAAAAAAAAAAGAGAAGATGAAAAGGGCTTGTATTGGAAACATTGATGCACAAGGACACACAGACCCTTTGCTTTGGAAACTGTGATGCTGTAATGCTCTAAAAAGGTCTTACTGTGCTGATGAACATGTTAAAATAAGCGTTTCTACAGTGTGACATTGGGTAGCCGTTTGATTTAAGACCTCTTACATCAGAGATTATCCTCTTCCCTCATGTTAATCTGAAACTCTAAAACATCGATCCAGGGCTGAAAGTCCTGCAGATGGGTTTCAAAATGAACCAAAGATCTCATGGAGGAAGAAGTAATGTAAAATTCTGTGAGAGTATTTTTCCCAAGTTGATAAAGTTGAAAATAGCAATTGAGTACTATGCTTGCACTTGAATGAGTAATCATAGCATGTAATATTTGACTTGATTTTAAAATGCCTAGACTCATAAAAACTCTACTCAGTCTGATCCATGAATTTTCCTTTCTCTGCTTCCAGAAGCAAAACAGCACCTGTGCATTTTCAACAGAGAGGAGAAAAAGCAATTTCCCATCCAATGCATTTAAAGATATGTGAATACAAAGAAGGAAAAAAAGGCACCTGGTTACTGTGGAGTAATAAGACAAAAAGAGGAGTCATAAACAAAGGATCGCAGGAGCTCTACTTTTATGAAAAAAGCAAAACAACAATAGAAAACACATAAAAGAATCTCAGCTTCTATCAGCCAGAAAGAAACCTAGATTACAAGAAAAATATAAACAGTTTTTCTCACAGCTTCTCAAATGAAGGCTATAAGGCTTTGAGGATTCCTCAGTGATCAGCAGATTATATATCATTTCAAATAATTTTCATTTACCTCTTCATTTTTGTGGGGTTCATTTTTTTAAATTGTAAAAATGATTTTTTTTTTCTTATTACTGTATTCCTCAAGCTCCTGTTTTGTGAACACGTAAAGGATCTACCTAAATGGAAATACTATTCACAGTTCTGTAACTGGGCAGGGCACTCTTTCTTCTGCCCCAATTTATCTGTCTTCTTTCTGGTTTATTGTTTTGTAAGGAGAATGTGTTTTGTCACATTCATGAATTGCAGATCAGTTTCTCATGAACTGCAAGACTGATAGCAGCAGTTTTTCTTCTCAGCAGTCTATAATTCCACTTCTTTCTTTTTGTTTGTCTTTTATGTTTCCCCCTTATCTTTTCCTTTCTCCCCATAGATGGGCAAAGCTGCCTGGAATACTAGGTGGCAATTACATCCTGCAGATGATTTCTGTAAATCGGTCTACTTTTCAAGCACTTATAAGCAAAATTATTTTAGCTGAGAGAACAGCACCCTAAGAAAAGGAAGCAGAAATGTATGCTTCATTTACATGGTTATGTACACAGGCTCCAGATTAGGAAGTGTCAATACTATTTACGTTTGTTGGGTAATGTTCATCGGCTTTATTCCTTAAAGGTATTTTTTAACATTCTCATTATTTCAAACCACATTTTCTAGCTAGATTTTTTTTTTGTTTGTTTCTTTTTTTTTTTTCCTCTAGTTGTCTTCTGCATGTATGATATGCATTTATGTTCTCCTGACAGGCAGGGTACGCAACAAAGCAATACGCTAGCTGTATAATATGCACAGTTTATTAAACAAGCACACTAAAGTAAATAAGCACACTAAAGCAAACAAACACATCAACATGAACTGGGTATATAACTATATATACAGTAAATAAATACAATAAAGCAAATCATATATAAGTAAAGTACAGACAAAAATTAGCAATATATCAAATCATTACTGCAGAGAGAGAACAGAGATTAAGAAGAAATACATCACCAATTATTACTGAATCATCATCCAGGCCCACACTTCAAGGGTGGCAGCCCCATTACAGCTGATGGTGGGAGTCTCAGGTAATTGGGAAAGTTCCTATGCAGTGTGTCTACCCATAAGTGAGGCTTCAGATTCGGCTACAAGAGTACCCTACTTTTGTACCCTCAACAAAACAACTGACTTTATGCCAGTTCTCTAACTGTTTACTTGTGAGGCCATGCAGTTTCTCATGATCTCACTGTTGTCTATGCTGAGAGTGTTGGCCAGGTGCCCAGGCATGGCCCAGTATGAAGGTCTGCACCATTATGTTTTCCTGCCTCTTTGTGACAAACAGTCACAATGAACATAAACATACTCTACCAAATACACTTGGTATTAGTTGCGTCTTTCATGGGAAGGAACCAACTCTTAGCTAGGTTTCCATCCATTACAATTTAATTAACTTTCTAATTTTTTAGCTGCAATAAAATATTATAAGCAGATTTTTAGAAATGCTCGATGTAAGTTAGTAATTGATAAATCTGAGAAAGAGTGCACAAAAGTGACCATTTTGGGAAATCACAGTATTTAGAATGCTACCGTGTGTTTTATCCAAAAGTTGTATTACAAACTAATACAATCATCACTTTATGGATCATGGAATCATAGAATCAGAGAATATTTTGGGTTGGAAGTGACCTCTAAATTCTAAATACCGTACCGGGCAGAGAGATCTCTTAGATGAAGTTGCTCAAAGCGTCATCCAACCTGGCCTTGAACATTTCCAGTGATGGGACACCCACTGCATCCTGGATGGTGTCACTTTCCTAAAACACATCGACTGCACCACTCAACTTGATGTCATCTCAAAACTTGCTGAGAGTGTACTCCTTCTTACTATCTATGTCACTGATGAAGATATGAAATTGTATTCGTCCCAGTATGGACCCTTGAGGGACACCACTCATTGCTAGTTTCTACTTGGACATTGAGCTGATGACTATGACTCTTTAGACATGGACATCCAGCCAATTCCTTATCCATCTAGAATTCCATCCATCAAACCTGAATCTTTTCAATTTAGCAACAAAAATTTTGCTGGGGAACATATCAAATGTTTTACCGAAGTCGAGAGAGATGACATCCATCTTTCCTTGTCCACTGATCTAATCACTCTATCATAGAAGACCACTAGATTAACCAGCTGATTCCTTCAAGACCCTGGGATGCATCTCATCAGGTCACATGGATTTGCATATGTTCAGGTTTCTCAGGTGGTCTCAAACCTGATCTTCTTCCACAAAGAGGGTGACTTCATTTCCCTCGTTCCTGCCTTGACGTTCAGGAGTTTGAGAGATGTTGCAAGAGAGATTGCCACTTAAAAATGGGGCAAAAAGATGTTAACGAGTACCTCAGCCTTCTCCATGTTGTTTGTCACCAGTTCTCCTGTCTTTTTTTATCAGGACAGGTACATTTTCTTTAATCTTCCTTTTCCGTCCAATGTATGTATAAAAGTCCTTGTTATTATTCTTTGCATCCCTTGACAAATTCATCTCCAACTGTGCCATGTTTTTGCTGATCTCATCCATACACATCTGGGCAGCGTCCCAGTATTCTTCTCAGGGAACCTATCCTTGGTTCCACTGCCTGTGCATTTCCTCCTTATACTTTAGTTTGACCAGGAGGTCCTTACTCAGCCATGCTGATCTCTTGCCTTCCTCTCCTGATTTCACACATGGGTATTGAGATCTCTTGTGCTCTAAGAAAAATATGCTCAAAGACAAAGCTTGTTAATTTTAGTGGAAATTAAAGATGCTCAGCATTTTGAATTATGCACATGTACAGCCTATCTCTGCTACAGAATAGGAACTGGAGTGTATTCGTGCATAAAGAAAAAATCAATGAGGAGGCAATTAACAATTGTTTGAATTATAACTGCATCACTGAAGAAAGAGGCAGGAAATTTTAAAAAAGGCCCTAGAGAGCACCAAAAAATCTTACTACTACGGCTACCTTGGTACGTGAAACAGCAAAAATACCTGCAACCAGTAACACAGATAATGTAGATCAAATATTGGAAAGGTATAATAAAATAGGAAATTCACAAATTCTCAGTATAAAGAGAGGATCTATTTGCTTTATCAGTCCCCTATGTAAAAATGTGATGACCTGACAGAAGAAGGGGAAACAATGTTCATGCAAGGACTTTTCCTAGTAAGACTTCGCTCTCATGCCATTTTCTTTTCTGTGGTGCTGCCCAGCCTTGATGCAGTTGTGCCTATAAGCATGACAACAGCTTGGATGCTGTATGTGACCTCCTTCATGGAGAGGCTCTTCTGTCACCACTGTTATTTGCAGATATGTGCATTCTGAAGAATGTGTGACTTGCCTGTGATCTGTGGCTTTTTCGGTTGACCTAGTCAGGTAAGCATCTTTTTCCTCTTTTCTTTCCTTCTCTTTTTTTTCCTCTTTTTTGAGGTAAAGGAATTTGTACATAATCCTCAGCAGCTGTTCTCAACCACCTGTGTTGTCCCTACTCAGAGGTTAAGCAGTGGAGGATTTTTTCTGCAAATTCTCTGAACTGAAGTTATTTGGAAAGAATTTATCAAACCTTCATTTCTTAAGACAGAAAAATACACATAAACAACAGTTTCAATGAACTCATATGAACTGAAGTGCCCCACGGGGTAGAAATATGTAGAAAAATTTCTCAGGCTTAGTTCTAGGAGATTTTTTGCTTTAAGTTGTATTTGTTTTTTTATAATATGTATTAGGTACTCTTACTGAAGACTTTATTTCTGGGTCTTTACATTGGAAAGAGGTATCAAATAGTTTATCCATATGTAAAATAAGAATTAGATTATAACACTATATAAGAAGTTTTTATAGCTAGATTCAATTTAATAGAACAGAAAACAGATTTTTCAGTCTAGTCCATTCTGTCCAAAACCTGAAAATCATATCTGTAGACTTAAAGATGCAATTTGCAGATACAAATTTTGAACTCAATTTTTGAGAGTTAGTTTTTTTAAGGGTTCCATATTGTTTCTAAAGCAGATTGATTACTTTAATTTTGTACTTCTATAACTTTCCTTTAAAGCACTTCTATAGCTTTCCTTTAAAGCACACTTAAGGTAATAAAGTGGACTTCTACTTTCTCCCGTGCATTCATCCACCATCTTGTCCCCTAGGCAGTTACTACTATGAAGTGTTTTTGTAATTTTCACAGCCATTGGTCATATATGCTGTCTTAAATAACTTATTAACATTGACAGACTTTTCCACCTTGCAAGATTATTAATGACTAAATTAGAATTTATTATGTGAAGTACAAATCTCTGAGGGATTCTTCTGATAATCTTCCTCCCCTGTGAAAACTGCTTTTGCCATGTGTTTTCTATCTCTTAATGAGCAATTTTTTTAATCTATCTTAGTACCCTTCTCCACAGTCATCTTCTCTTTAAGAGCCTTTGGTAGAACACATTGTTCAATGCCTTTTCAAAGTCAAGGTGCACTGTACCAGCCTGCTTGCTCGAGTTCGGAGGCATGCTGACTTCTTCAGAGAACTGTGTGTTTGTGAGAAGTGCTATTATTTAGCAAAAGCTATGTTGCTTTTCCTAATTGTTCATATTTATGAACCATAATGGTTGATATTTATTCAGGTGCGCATTAATTCTATTTTTCAGCCAGTTTCAACTGATTAACCTGCTGGACACATTGAGATACTGGTCAGTCTTTGAATTACCTTGCAGCCTTCTGTAATAATTGCTGTCATGTATGTTGTTCCTCTGCCTTCACACTGTTTCTGAGAGAGAGATTTGTGATTTACTTGTTTCATCTTCAAGTCTCCTTAGAGCCAAAAGATGAATATCAGTCTTGAAATTTGTCACTCTTAATTTTATCTATTACTTCAATAACTTCTGCTGACAGTTGGACACATCCTTTGATGTGTCTATAGCTTAAAAAACAGAGGTTCATCTCAGAAATTTCCATGGACTTGTCCATGTTAAGCAGGGACATAAGTAATTTTTGTTCTCATTGCCTCTGTATGCTCTTTTCATGCTTTGACTCATTTCCTCACGCTACAGACTCCCTAGAAGGTTTCTTCCTTAACTGTTTAAAAATATATTTATTCTTTGGCTTTGTGGGAAGTGCAGGTGGTTTCTCACACCCCCCCCCCCCTTTTTTTTTTGGTGCTGCCGTTTTGAGTTTTTACAGATAACTGACTTCTTAGTGATTCTTATTCCTTCTAGTACCCAAATTTAAGTTTTTTTAAGGATTTCCCATTCTAATGGTACCCCCTAGCCTGCTGGATTTTCTCAAGGCTTTGCTGCTTGGTTGTATTCCTTTACTTTGAGAAGCCATATGGTGGTATTAGATAGTCACAATGCCACTGGGAATGATTAATCTCTTTAACCTTTTTCTAAAAACATTTCTCATTTATCTGTGATTTCCTTTTTTTAAAAATCAATCAGCAGTAGACCTTTTGATTTAATGGCTTCAGGATTTTGGAATCCAAATATCCTACGTTTATTCGTTACACAGTGACTTCTAATAATATCACTTGAAGCAATTTCTGCACGTTAGTCTGGTTCAAACCTAAAAAACTGTCATTGTCACTGTCTAGATATGTGATCTCAAAATCATACACAGATGTGATATTCACCCAGGCTACCAGGGATTACTTTACTCTTTTGCCTGTTGCATTTCCTTTCAGGTTCCAAACTCTTCTTTAGTATCAGGAAGTCACTGTCAACATCTTTGACAGGTGAAGTAATACACTTCCAAGAGGGTTTTTTTTTGTTTGTTTTGTTGTTTTTTTTTGTTTGGGTTTTTTGTTTGTTTGTTTGTTTTATTTTTTATTTTTCTTATATGTTATGTTAAACCTAAAAGCTGGCACCATGCAGTGATCTTTTGGGGGACAATGAATATAGACAATCACATCTATCCTTCTGAGTGTGGATTCAGTTGACTACTGGCTGCTATTAAAATCTAGCTTGATGAAGGTGTTGTAACTTGTCTTTGAACTCTCTTGTCTATGGAGTTTACATGACATCTGGCTGAGCACCACTGGTCAAAAATTTAATGTCAACCAGTAACAGATTAAAAGGGATTGTACTATCTACCACTCTTCTACAACTATGAAATTTTTT